ACACATCCTAGGTCCCAGGCACTATGCTAGGTGCCTTGTATTCTTCGTCTATTTCTAATAACCATATGGGCAAGTGTAATTATCATCATCATCATCATCAATACAACAAAGTTAACTGAGTGCTTACTGCTGAGCGGTTCACCTAGACTGTCTTGTGCGGCAGGTGCTGTTGCCATGCCCACTTTCCAAGCCAGGGAACCGAGGCACGGATCAATTAAGCAACTTGCTGCACAGCTATGAAGAGGAGAAGGCTGAGCCTCACAGGGGTGAAGTAACATGACCATTTTCGCCTAGTAAGCACGCTGCGTGCTCTCCCTGCCCCCGCCCCCCAACTTGCTCCTCCTGGGGCCACTGGGAAATTCCAGGTTGCGGTGAGGGCAGCTGGGACCAGGAACTGCTGGAGTGGGAGTGGGAGTTGGGGGCTTTATCAGCCCCAGGTGACAGCATACTCCTTGCACAGAGGGTGACCCCAGCCCCAGCCACTTGCCAAATGTCTCCTGGATTCACTGGCCTTTCCCAGTAATTCTTCCCTGTCTCCTGCCCTTTCCGGCTCATCAGAATCCCAGCTATCATTCGGCACCTGTTGGAATTCTGCCTCTCCCAGGAAGCCTTCCTGGATGGCCCTGACCCAGAGCTTTTTGACCTTCTCCAGAACATTGTCCACCCACTTGGCTGTCCTGTTAAGCCTTGAGGTAGATACTGCCATCTGGACTCCTCAAGGAGGTGTTGAGTTCCCCCAGGCTCCGACACCTGACAGACAGCCAGTACCCAAGAATTCTTACTGAATGAATAAATGCTACACTCAGACATTCCCTGGGGGTCGCTGGGGTCATGAGTCTCAGTGCCTCTGCTGAAGCTGCCCAGCACAGAGAGGGAAGTCAGGAAATGAGCATGTGATCATCCCAGGTGCAAACAGTTGGGAGTGGTGAGGTCTGTGGCAAACCGGAGTCTGCACGCCCACCTGTGGGGCTCACGTTCAAATGGAGCCACCCCACGACCCACCTCTCTCCCCGTCCCTGGCTTTATTTTCTACGTTGTGCACAGCACTTTAAAATATACACTTAGACTACTTATATTTAATATCTGTCTTCCCTCACCAATGTGAACTATGGGAGATCTGGTCTGTTTTGTCATCTGCTGTAGCCCAGCCCCTCCTCGGTGACTGGCACATAGCGAGGCTTCAGTAGGTACGTGCTGAGTGAATCACAGGCTGGTGCCCCACTCCCCCCTGCCGTGTCCAGGCTCTGGGAGCATTCAGGGTTCAAGGCAGAAAGAGTGAAGGCCGTTGGGTGTCACCTGTTAGGCCCCCAGAGATCCCCAAGGAGACAACCTGGAGTCTGCTTTGGTGACAGCAGGTCTAGCTGGAACTAGGGCATCGGGGTTAGTGACTGCCCCACGATGGGATCAAGTCGGCACTTCCGGGTAAAGCTGAGGGCGGGATGGGTGATGGTGGCGGGGGGCGTCCCTCCAGAGCCCGCTCGCGCACACCTCCAACATACCCCCACAGGGGCGCAAGGTTTCGGAGAGCAGGCGAGGCCCAGCAGCGGGGGAAACGGTAAGGGGGCGCAGCGACCCCCGGCGCGGACCGCGCCTGCAGGGGGCTGCGGAGCAAGGGCAGGCGCGAGGTGCTCGCCGCGCTGCGGGAGAGCCGGGCCGGGCGGCTGCGGGGGCCGAGCCCTCCCCCTCGCCCTCCCCCTCCCTGCACAAGAGCACCGTCTTACAAGGTGGAGTGAGCGCATCTGCACCCCAGGGAGCACGAGAACAGCACCCGCGCTGCCAGGTGGGGGAGGAAGTTACAGCGCACGCTGCCCCGTGCTGAGAATAGAACGGGGAGTTATTGTTGCCGTCGTTGTTGTTTATCATAATGTGCCCTAACAGTGCCGACTGCATCATCATGGATCTGGTGACTTAATATTTCAACTGAACAGGCAGAACATTTCAGACCTAAGATATGAAGCATATAAAAAGGT